AATGAGGGAGAAAGAAAGAGAGAATCTCAGACCTTTCCCAAGCGAGTTCAAGTATGAGTATGAGAAGTGTATATACCAGACACAGACGGTTGTTGAGTTTGACGCGGTTTGGAACACTCTCATCAACAAGTACGGTCTTAGAGACGACATTTGGCTGAGGGAAGTCTACGAGCACCGTGAGCATTGGGTTCCTGCGTATCTAAGAGCAAGTTTCTTCGCTGGAATCCCAATAAACGGAGCCTTTGAGCCATTCTTTGGCCCTTCTCTCGACGCTCTGACTCCTCTCAGAGAGTTCATTGGCAGATATGAGCAAGGACTCGAGCAGAGACGTGAGGAGGAAAGAAAAGAGGATTTCAACTCTTACAACTTACAACCGTTTCTACAAACAAAGGAGCCAGTGGAAGAACAGTGCAGGAGGCTCTACACGCTAACCGTCTTCAGAATCTTCCAGAACGAGCTTGTCCAGTCTTACAGTTACCTCTGTTTGAAGACCTACGAGGAAGGACCTATGAGTAGGTTCTTGGTGAGAAAATGCGGGAACGAGAGTGAGAAACACGCGGTGACTTTCAATGCGACGAATCTGAACTCGAGTTGCAGCTGCCAGATGTTTGAGCATGAAGGGCTTTTGTGTAGACATGTATTGAAAGTGTTTAATCTGTTGGAAGTGAAAGAGCTTCCGTCTAGGTATATACTGCACAGGTGGACTAAGAATGCAGAGTTTGGGTTTGTGCGTGATATGGAGTCAGGTGTGAGTTCTCAAGATCTTAAGGCTTTGATGGTTTGGAGTCTGAGAGAGGCTGCTTCTAAGTATATAGAGTTTGGGACTTCGTCTCTGGAGAAGTATAAGCTTGCGTATGAGATTATGCGTGAAGGTGGGAAGAAACTTTGTTGGCAGAGATGATTATGAGCTCGCCTTGAAAAAATGTAAGTTCAATCTTCTTGATATCTAATCTCCTTTCATGTCTGAAAGTTACTGAAGTTTCTTGGGATTTGGTGTTGTTTATTGTTGCTAATGCTGTAGGAAGTCCTTGTTCTACGTTCTAATGTTAACCTTTTCGATAACTTCTGTCGCTGGCTGCAAGTGGCGGTGGTGTTGGAGTTGTGGTCATTGTCTTTCCCAGTGATAATCACTATCATTGCAATGGCGCTTCTGGTGATGTATTATCAGTGACATGTTTATTTGTCTCTTGTGTGTTTGTTTATGTTCTAAGAAAGTGAGAACAGATGAGAAGTGTAGGGTTTTGGTGTGATCTACTACGGATCATGTTTAGAGAACCAAAAGATCATTTGATCCTAGATGTTTAGAATGTAATGTTAAATATCATTTTCAATCTCTCTTTTTTTTTTTCTCATTCTCACTGATAGAAGAGCTTTGGTTATTTATTTCTAAGTTGAAAATATTAGAAACATTAGTATTTTCTTAGGCTTCAAGAATGTGGATAGCTATTCCTAGAGAAACCTTAGGAAGCTGTTTGTTTAGAGATCTAATAGATGGATTGACAAAAAAAAAAAAGAGATCTAATAGATCAACATTCTATACTTGCCAAGGCTCACACCTTCCACTTACAAACAGCTTAGTACAAGCCTTGCTTATGATAGCCTAGAAACCATCCCCAGATTTACCAAGAGCTTAGGTCTTTTTTGGAGAGAGTTGAAAGAAGCATAAAAGAACTCTTTTAAATGAACACTGAGAGATGTGTTCAAGAAGAAAAAGAAACGAACATTGAGAGGCAGTACTTTACTATTGAATGTTTATCTTCTCACCATAGAATTCTTGATGTCGCAAGATCATTGCAGAAAGAGCAAAGGCAGAAATTTCTCGATTCTTGCAAGATTTGGACGTGCACGCACGTGGAATTGTAAAGCACAGCAGACTTATTGGAAAGATGTGAGTGGAGTCTATGCACTTTTTAATAAGAATACTAATTAAGTGGATATCTCAAAGAATTTTAAGTCATCGTCAATGGAGTATATTAAGAGATGTTTTTCATGTCCTATTATCTCATACTCCCTCCGTTTTAATTTTAAGTGACATTTTAAATTTTTTTACATAAATTAAGAAATAATAATTTTATATTTTTCTTTATATAAAAACATCATTATCCATACATTTAATTATATTTTAATCAATAAAAAAATTAATAAAATCTTGATTGAAATATAATAACAATATTTATGTTATATTGCAATTTTTTTCTATTACGACACTTAATATAAAATAGACATATTAGTATTTTGTTATATAGAAAAAACTTCATGTCTCTCTAAAGAAAAAGATAACAAGTCTGTTTTATTGGTTGTCACAAAAAACAATACAAGAAAAAGACAATCTTAAGAAAGCTTCAAATGCTATCAAAACCCATTGTTTAGATTATTCAACAATACAAGAAAAAGACAATCTTAAGAAACCTTCAACTGCTCTCAAAACCCATTGTTTAGATTATTCAACGTCAACTTGACTTTTTGGTGTTCTCTGGAACGCGGATTTTAGGACTATAAGTAAAGATTTTCTACGAGTTTTTTCTTTCCTTGACCATCTCTATCTTTCATTATGCTTTAGTTATGTTTGTTTATCTGTTTCTCGTCGAATATCTCTCCAATTGTAATCGATTTAGTCCATCGAGCTTTTAATTTTAATATAAGCATTGATTGTTAAAAAAAAAAAAAAGCTTCAAATCGATTTGGGAGATTCAAGAAGAGATAACACACTTACCACCCTCTCTCTTTCTCTCCCTCATGGATCCTGCTTCTTCTCTAACTCGCCGATACATGCATGATGTCTTCCCTAGTTTCTGCGGTCAAGACGTTCGCAAAACCTTTCTTAGCCACTTTCTTGAAGGACTGAAAAGACAAGGAATAAACACCTTTATAGACAATGGGATCATGAGGAGCGAGTCTATCAACTCCGAGCTCGTTAGAGCTATCAAAGAAGCAAGGATTGCAATTGTTATCCTATCAAAGAACTACGCCTCTTCAAGTTGGTGTCTGAACGAATTGCAGTTGAACATGGATTGCAGGTCAACTTTAGGAGAGACTGTTATGACAATCTTCTACGAAGTGGATCCTTCAGATGTAAGAAAACAGACCGGAGATTTCGGGAAGGCCTTTGAAGAAACTTGTGTTGGGAAGACAGAGGAAGAAAAACAGAGATGGAGACAATCTTTGACTCAAGTTGCCGTTATTGCCGGAGAACATTCTGTTTCGTGGTATATACTGACTCTTCTAACCAATGTTCAAGAAATGCTAGGCGGTAGAGTACTAGTGGATTATTCAAAACTTAGGCTAGGTCTAGTATTACTATTAACAAGTTATTGATTTATTTTTTAATATTTTACATTTAGTTTTTAGGTTTATTTATAAAATTATTTTGATGAACTACACACATTACATACACAATAAAAAAAACTTGATAAATCCGTGGATTTGTATCAACTTAAATCTGTTTATACATTTTAGTTCGATTTAGACTAATTCTAACAAATTAAAATGATGGAAACCGATTTAGGTTGCATAAATTGGATTTTGTAAAAATCATTAGCCTATGTGCTGTTTATAGCAATTTTTAGAACATTGATTCTAACTAAATCTGTTTCACCAGTTTTCGTGTGGATCAAGTATCGTTCTGACTGTCTTCATAGGGCTAGTGAAGCTGAGATGATGTTGAAAATTGTCATGGATGTTGCTAACGAGTTGCCATCAACGGATTTTGATCGGTTAGTTGGAATAGAAGCTCATGTAGCAAAGGTGAAATCGATGATGTGCCTAGAAAATGATGAGGTAAAAGTTGTGGGGATATGGGGGGTCCTGCTGGTATTGGCAAAACCACTATAGCTAGCGCCTTATACAAAGAAGTGTCGTGTAACTTCTAGCTCAAGTATTACATGGAGAATGTTGAGGGAAAGTATAAGACGATCCAGTTTGATAAGCATTACTTGCAAAACTATTTGGAGAGCGAGTTAATCTCTGGAGTTCTTGATCATAGAGACATGAGTGCTGTTCGTTTGGTTGCCGCAGCGTCTGCGGCTGCGGCTGCGTCAATAAATTGTGTTCGTTTGATTGCCGCAGGACTTGCGTCTAGACGCCGCGGGTAGACGCTGCGTCCGGCGTCACTGAAATTTTGACGCGAAAAAAATCAGCGTCTGAGTCAAGAAACTCGCGTCTATTTATCATATTTACATTTTTGCCCTTAACTTTTTTTATTATTTACATAAAAACATAACCTAATAGACGCAGCTTCTCCTCCATTGACGCAGCTCTCTTCTCCTCCATTGACGCAGCTCTCTCTTCTCCTCCATAGACGACTCATCTCGAGCTCTCTCCATCTCCCACGCATTTTGAGCTTGTCTCTGTCGTCTCGAAACTCTCTCTCGAAGCTCTCTCTCGAAGCTCTCTCGTCTCAGACCTCTCTCAGGCAAGTTCTCCTCTCGACTCTCTCAGATCTCAAAGCTCTTCCGTCTCAAACCCTCTTAGGCTCACTAATCTATCTCTTCGGTTTCTCTTCAGATTCACGTAAGCTTCCTCTTCTTCGTACTCCTCTCTTTGACTTTCGATTTCAAATCTCCAGCTCTGTAGATGTTGGTTTTCGAATTATTTCTTATGGGTTTTAATCGCTATGTATGTTGCTTTGGGGTTGTCTTTGATTTGATCTGTGTAGCCTGAGATGATCTATCAATCCTTTGCAGGATAATAGTCTTTTCTCTTGAGATTTGGAAATTTAAGTTGTATTGTTTCTTATTTTATTACCCTCGATCCTTAGCTTTGGGGGTTTAGAAATTTGAATCCTTTGACTCTTATTGGAGACGGGAAGAGTGATGTTTGCAGGGTGTTAGTGAGTCTTTTCTCTTGTTATTGGAGAGGAGAAGAGTAATGTTTGCCATGTCACTGTCTTCTTTGCAGGTTTGTGTAAAGACCAGTGTTTATGTTCGCGAACCAAGCTGGTTTAGACATGCTAGAGACAACACTTGTAACCTTACAAGAAATTACACTCGAAAAGATCTTTGATGAATCTGGTTGAAAGGCTATGTGCTCAGATTCGTCAAGCTAATGTAGCAGGTAAAAAACAAAAAACAAAAAAAAAACAAAAAGAACTCTTTAGTTAGCAGAACATGCTTGAGACTCATTTGTCTGAGAATTGTACAGGGATATGCATGCTTACCTTCAGGAATCTGTTTGTCTACGATGGGAAGACATGTGGCTTATGAACAAGCTGTTGCTTGGAAACTGTTTGCTGCTGCGCATCATCTGAAAACGACAACGCCAATGATAATACTTTGCATTGTCTTGCTCATAGAGACATGGAGATACCTAACTTACAAGAAGCAAAGTTTAGGTTAAACCACCAGAGAGTCCTTCTCATTCTTGATGATTTTGGTTGTGATGAGTTAAAAGCTTTGGGGAATCTGAATCTGATTCAGGGTCTGAGATTTGGAAGTAAGGTGATAGTGACTAGTGAAGATGTATATAAACTGAAAACTAATGGGATCAATCAGATATACAAAGTGATTTTCCCATCAAAGGAAGAGGCGTTGCAGATTTTTTCATACTCTGCGTTTTGGACAAAAGTCTCCACCAAGAAGTTACGCAGAGAAAGCTGTTGAAGTGGCTAAGTTTGTTGCTCCTTTCCCACTTGGTCTCAAAATCTTAGGTTCGTCTTTTCGTGGGACGAGCAAAGATGAGTGGATGGTAAAAGTGCCTAAACTCAGAACCTATCTTGAGAATAATAATAAGGATATAGTTAAAATGATTAGATTTGCATTCGATGGTCTATCTGATACACAAAAGAATACACTTCATGGGTTAGTTAGCTCTATGCGTTGCGACACGTTTTTGGAGAGTGTCTGGGACGTGGATGAAGATATGCAAACCCTAGCTGATATGGCTCTCATCTCCAAAACAAGACATGGAGGAAATGGTGGAATCATGGTGCACTATTTGGTACGTCATATGGTAAGCAGCAAGACTGGCCCTGGTTCTCGAATGAGTTATATTGAACATTTTCATATACAGTAATTAATACCTCAAGTCCTTCATTGTATCAAGGTTTTTTGCATGATAGATTTCATAAAGATGTGTGAAAAGACAATTGTGTTAGTGTCACTAAAAGCTGTTACAAAAAGAAAACAGTGTCACTAAAAGCTGTGGAGAGAGCAGCTTCTAGCAACTTCTTTATAAAATCAATAAGATATGTATATTTTTTAATCTCTTGGTAACAACTTAAATCTGGCTTCTTTCATTTCTCTTTTGCATTGTAATAAAGCTTCTTTGAGTTCGAGCTATCTCTTTAGTCTTCATCATTTTGTATATAAGGTCTTTTAGAACATATATCTATCTTGTTCTCAAAACGTTATCAGCATCGTACTGAACTAAGGGATCTCTTAGAGCAGGATTAACGCAGCACCCCACTAAGGATACTTATTTATTTTATTTTTGATTCTATTTTTAATTTTTTCCTCATTTTAAAAAAATTAAAAAAATACATCACGGCATATCACATATCTCGGTGGAACCCGTGCACAGGACAAGCAACAAGCAAAAAAAGAAAAAGATCTTGTTTAAGAGCCAGAAGCTTCGGTTGTTGGGCATTTGATGAGCCCCCTAAGCGCCCCATTTTCCCTGAGTTAGTCGTGCTCTTATATATATGATGCAAGATGGAAGAAGTAAGGAGGTACGTCTATCAATATAAGGGCAGCTACCTACGGTAAGATTCAATAATATTTTTGTTTGGTATAGCAACATTAACACAAAGATTGTATTTGCATTAAAAAAACCTTTTTTTTTAGTTTCAGATCGGATACAATCAAAGTATAGAATAGAAAAAAAAAATCAGACGAAGAAAACAATCAACAGACAACACAACATCACAAACTCTTTGTTTTGAGTAAACCACACGCTTCAGAGAAGAAAACCAAACCAATATATTGTTCTCTTTAGAAACTCAAACCCTTCCCGCATGAGGCCTTTCTCCGGCGACTGTTTCTCCAACTCCGACGTGAATGGCACCGGTACATAACAACTGAGTACCGCTCACAATTATTGTCATAACTTCAAGAGTTCTCTGAAGGAAAAGAAAACGTATCAACATTATTAAATATCAGTTATAAAGAAACACATTAACTTGTTTAAACTGGGAGTAAAAGCTCACTAAATTGGCCTCAGTCCAGCCTATGTTGATCTCCTTACAAGCCAATCTGCACCAACACCAAACCGGTTAAGATTTGGTTTTGAATTTAACCGAACTACTACCCGGTTTTGATTATTCATAAACCGGTGGTGAGGTTTTTATTATATACCCCATGGCGAGGAGAGTGAGAGACCAAGAGATGAGAGAGGAAGCGGCGGCGGAATGGAGATTTGGAGAGTCCCACTCAAGAACGTTCATGATTCCGCTGAGTGATGTCGCCATTCCGACGACGCCGGCGATCAACGAGAATATTACGAAGAAACCAGTCGCCATGTTCCCTACCGGGAAATAAATTGGAAAGATCTTCGCCGGAAGAGACAACACCGACGCTGCAAAAACCATATATAAGACGATTTGATTCAATCTTAAAAAAGTTGGATAATTTTCTTAGTATTAATTACCAGACTCGCGAGCTCTCTCGATGCCGTGATTAACAGCCCATGAAGCAATAACAGTGACGACAAAATAGAGACCAAGATTCAGCAACAGAAGCATGAAAGCTGCCGACTTTGATCCCCCTGAAGCCATTATGATTCTCTGAGTTTTCCGACAAGAAATTAAAAAGATTTCTAAGAAAACCTGACAGTATCCTTGTCTTTTGTTTCTGTCTTGGGATAATCACAAGATCATTGTATGTCTGTGTATATATATATATATATATATACATATATTTTTATACAGTTTATAGGAATAAAACTTTCTTCAGCTGCAAGCAATGTTTTAAATTCTTTACTTTGTCTTTCACCTTAGCCAACGAATCAAATCCTAACCTTATTTGCTGTCTTCTTCACAGAGGAAAAAGAAAAGCATACGAGAAAATGACAAAAGAAAAAACATAAACCCTTTTCTTAGAAATACCTGTCAGCCTAAACTTTTTCTCGGGAAATAATCTGTCAGGCTGAAACGTTTCCTGGTAAACTAACGAGTAAAAGAAAGCCAGGTTTACTTCTAACCAATAAATTAAAGAATATATTGCATAACCATCATCTTACATGCATGCACATTGCAAAACATTAAATCATATTCTGAATCACTAACTAATGCAGAGCTCTAAGGATTATTCTTTGCAAGATGATTGTTTATGTCTCAGTGATCCGAAACATGTGGGTGATTAATGGAGGTAGCATTTGGGTTTATGTTACGCGGTGTCGGTGGAACTCTTTTCTTCATTTTGACTCTAACTAGGGTCGTCTTTGACGTTCTCCCATGTCATCATGTCAAGTGGATACACACAAAAAAAAAAAAAAAAAAATTAAATCAACGGTGGCCCAATAACACCCAAGAGATATGAATTAGCCACCTTTCCTAAATAAAAAGTCTTAATTCACATTTATATCATTTCCAAATCTTTTCGTGCACATCATAATGATTTTTGAATCACTATATAAATCAATTAATTACCATAAAAAAAAAACCTCATCACTTTCCCTTCATTCTCATTCTCCCGTCTCCTTTGATGAACACAACTAGGGTTTGCCTTTGCCGTGAGGCCACCAAACCTCTCACGGTGTCAACCTCCGTCACGGAAACCGTCAACGGCTTCCACGAGTTCAAAATCAGCGGATACTCTCTCACCAAAGGCGTCGGAGTCGGCAAATACATCGCCTCGGAGACGTTCGTCGTCGGCGGTTACTCGTGGGCGATCTATTTCTACCCTGACGGGAAGAGTCCCGAGGATAACGGGTCTCACGTCTCTCTGTTCGTTGCCTTGGCGAGCGAGGGAGATGATGTGAGGGGTTTGTTCGAGCTGACGCTTGTTGATCAGAGTGGTAATGGGAAGGATAAGGTTCATAGTCATTTCGTTAGGGCGCCAGAGAACGGTCCTTATAGGCTTAAGTGTCGTGGAAGTATGTGGTGAGTGATTCTCTTTCTCTCTGTGTGTGATAAAGTTTCAATCTTGCAATAGAAATAATTTCTTTTAGAGTGGTTTTAGGTTATTGATAGAGTTGTGAGTATATCTATTCTCCCTGTTTCTCTGTAAAGGTTCAAACTTGCAATGAAAGAACACTTTTTTGTAGAGTGGTTTCAGGTTATTGATAGGGTTGTGAGTGTTATCTATTCTCTCTGTTTCTCTGTAAAGGTTTAAACTTTGCAATGAAAGAAAACTTTTTTTTTGTTTGAGTGATTAAAGGCCATTGATAGGGTTGTGAGGATATCTATTCTCTCGGTTTCTCTGTACAGGTTCAAACTTTGCAATGAAAGAAAACGTTTTTTTTTTTTGAGTGATTTGGTTTTGTGACGTGTTTGTGTGTTTTGTTTGGTTTAGGGGATACAAGCGGTTTTTCAGGAGGACTAGTTTAGAGACATCAGACTATCTCAAGGATAATAGTCTCTTGGTACGGTGTCGTGTTGGTGTGGTGAAGTCGTGCACGGAGGGACCTAGGGATCATAATATCAATGTACCAGCTTCTAACTTGGGCCAACAGTTGGGGAATCTTTTGGAAAATGGGAAAGGTTGTGATGTTATTTTTGAAGTTGATGGAGAAACATTCTCTGCGCACAAGCTGGTTCTTGCAACGCGTTCTCCAGTGTTCAGGGCGCAGCTTTTTGGACCGTTAAGAGACAGGAATAGTGACCGTATAGAGATAGAAGACATGGAGGCCCCCATTTTCAAGGTCAGCTCTTTACTTCTCTTTATGGGATTTACATATGTTAAGTCTTGGAATGTGTATAGATTAGGTCTTACAAAGTTTTGTAAGAAGAGATAGATTTCTTTGTTCCGGGTGAGTGATTGTGGTGTCATACAGGATGTTCTGTTCAAGAATGTACCATCCGGGATCTTCTCCTGGGGCGCTACTCCTGTTGTCGAGTTTACTCACCCGGGATAAGGTTCTTTCTTTCTGCTTCTCTTCCTTGTTGGTTGCATGAATGCCTTTTCCTCTTATTCCCACCAGACGTATCTTTGTGGTGTAACTTACTGAACATATTGAATATTTGACATATTAGTGAGATTGGCTGGTGGGTTTAGAGTTTCAGATTTCATGTACACTTACTTGACTGACATGATAGGTTTTGTGATGTAATCAAATCTATTTTTGTTTTCCTTTGTTATTAGTCTTTGCTTAGGTTTAGATCCTAACTCATGTTAGTTTATTGTCACAGTATCCCCTGATACAAACTCCTTTTGCTCTATTTTTTTCTATTGCTCTTGTGCAGGTTTTGCTTCATTTTATCTACTGGGACGAGTTGCCTGATATGCAAGAGTTAATAGGCCTAGATTCTAAATCGGCTTCTACTCTTGTGGCTCAGCATCTGCTTGTAGCGGCAGACTGTTATGCACTTGAGCGGCTTAAAACTATCTGCGAGTCAAAACTTTGTGAAGGAATCACTATAAATACGGTTGCAACCACCTTGGCCCTAGCGGAGCAGCACCATTGTTTCCAGCTAAAAGCAGCCTGTCTCAAATTCTTTGCGTCGCCAGAGAACTTGAAAGGTAAACAAAAAGAAGATCGTTATTTTTGCTGTGAAATCTTTCTGAGTCAGCTCTCATCTCATAGAATGAGGCTTATGTTATTTTCTCTCTTTTTTCCTTATCAGCTGTGATGCAAACAGATGGGTTTGATCATCTGAAAAGGAGCTGTCCATCTCTACTAACTGAGCTATTGAAGTATGTGGCGAGGATTAGGGAACACTCTGTAACTGCACCGGGACATCCAAGAGATATATTTGCTGATGGTTGTGATTCCAATGGAAGAAGAGTGAAGCAACGGTTGCATTGAACAGAATTTGTTCATCGTGTAATCTCTGTTAAAAGATAATCGCTGATTTGAAACTATCTGATCCAGCAAGTAAAATGATTCTTTTTCAATTCTTTGTACTAAAATCAAAGATCCAATGAAATTTGGTGACTAGTCCAGGTTTATCTGACATTAATTATGTGAATGTTAGGTAAAGCTTCTTCTAACCCCAAAACATCATCTTAGTACCAGCGACTCACTGCAGTTTCTTGTGCTGCAGCCACTTTCTGTGGTATATACTGAGGGTTTTGTTTTAATCTGCTTGAACCTTCGGCCATGGTGACGCAGTCTTCATCTCCTCTGTTGCTTTTGTAAGTCTGAGGAGTTTCTCTTTGGGTATTGAGCCGCACTAGCTGGATTCCTGACCATCCTATGATGTTGTTGTTCAAGAGCTTCGACTCCTGTGGCTGCGCCACAGTTGTTATACCGTAACACTGATCCAACTACTTTTCCAGGCCTAGCTACTGTGGCACCTGCTTTATTACAACAAGGTAAATGTTCAGAAACCACAGAAGTTCTGCATCATAATATATTAAACAGAGAGAGTGGTGAGACCTTGGATTGTTTGAGGGACGTTAATAGAAACTCGCCAATTCCTGTCTGAACCGCGCGGTCTCTCGGCATCTCTGATGCTACATTTGGAGAGTCCATCAGTGACTTCCACTGAACTCTGTTGTGCCGCTGCATGATTGTTATCAGAATACAAAACGCAAGCCCTGCAAAACATACACTCAATGTACTGTTTCTAAAGAATCCCAAATTATCAAATGTTTTACAGAGAGTGAACCATACCTAGGTAACGATGCGTGCTGCTGCTGCCTCTCTGGAGGGTTGTGAGAAGTACCATTCTTGTAGTGTTCCTCAAGGTAAGCAAACTGTTCCTTGAAATGTTCAACCGCACTACAGAATGAACAATGCATATTTTAAAAATCATGGACGAGAGTAAACAGGAGTATATTTATGAACAAGGTTAAGTACCTCTAAGATCTAAATTCTCTCTATATGATGAAGCAGAACAAAACAGAACAACACATGTATATATGTCTTATTAAAGTGATTCTGCGGTAATTGGAAAAAGCAGATTAGTGGAGTCTGATTATCCTTCTAAGAAAGGTCTTATTTACCCACGTTTTGGCGTTTAGCGCGTCTTTGGACAAAAACTATCGTTGGATAATGTACAAAAGACGAATATAATATTTTATATTTTTACTTTTTGTATAAACTATTGGTTTATGTTCCATTTAATTATTCGGTGCGTTATAGATGAAGGATAACTGTATAATGTTATACTATAAACCCACTGTATTAAGTCATCTAAGTATATAAATGATGCAGATTTTACTATGAATTTATGACTATAATTAAAGAGAACAAATTTTCAACTATATATTTGTAATGGATGAAAAACATAAGTTTCAAAACAACCAATTTATTTTTTAATAAATATGATGGGTAAATAGAAAAATAGAGTAGATATTAACAGTTCATGAGAAAACCCGTGGAAATGCTTCAGTCCATGTGCATCACATGACTTTTATATTTCTTTTCCGGTTTAACAAAATGTAATCCCTGGATCGTCTTTAAAAGAGCCATTATGCAACCCAGTAGTAGTGATACGACGTATCTCATAGGGGCAAAAAGCTTCAATGCTGATAGATTCAAATCAGTGTAGTTAAAGTATTCATTATCAGACTCTCAGCATAACCACAAAGCTACTCATCTTTCAACAAAACGACGGTTCCTACTACTACAACTGGATCAACCCGAATAAACCTATACGTTCACTAGTTAATAGATTCGTTGTCCATAATTGAGTACCAAAGCATGTTCTCAGGGACATTTAATAATTGGGTTCCTCCTTTAGAGTCCGAATATTTATTACATTCGCTAAAAACATAGTAAGATCATTTATTTACAAAAAGAAAATCGGAATGTGACCTCCGGCGACGGGACAATCCAGGCTGGCCGAATTTAACCAGTATAAACCTGCCATCAAAGAACTAAACCAGAAAAAAACGGTATCAATAACAAATGATCTTGGAGACCAAAATAAAAAACATGGAAGAGAGAATAAACATGTTTGTTGAAATTCAAAAAAAGGCGCTTTATACCTTTCCGTTCATAGCTTCCACAGCCATCTGCGCATCCTCTTTTTTGTTAAACCAGATATATCCATATCCTAGAGACTGCCGAGTCCTTTCGTTCACAATGATTTTTACTGCCAAACAAACAAATAGAAACGGGTAAGAAATAGGATCGTGCTTGCTTGCTTATAGACTGATTTTTGAACCAAGCTAACTTAATGATATTGCTGCTATTCATGCTATATCGTCTGCAGGTCGGTTCCAACTTCCAAATGTTGAATAAGAGTGTTATGATGGTCTCTTTCTTTAATAGTAGCAATTCATGAATCCCTCATTTGTACCTCTAAACTGAAAAAAGATAAGCAGAAAACTTTTTTTTTTTTGCAAATCAATTTGTTTCTCAATAGCTCATGATAAAAACATATTTTTATTTGTATCAGAGTTTCCTTCCTTTTTTTTGGCTTCTGATCCACACCACTCTCTATATAAAAAAACACGCATCTTCCATCCACTATCTTGGTTTGATTCGGACCATCCGTGACTCGTACCCTCACCAAAAGAAGAAAAAAGTTTTTTTTTTGTCCGCACAGAACTTCTCCGTTTCAATACTACAAAGTCGTGGTCTGAAACTCTGAATCAAAGCCAAGATAGATGCTTTTGATAACACTCACTACTTGTCACTGCCAAGAGCTTTAAGGGAAACCATTGATTTGCATAACAACTTGTCTGTTTTTTTTTATTCATCTCTCTCGTATGGACAGACCTTTTCAGCTTCTTCACTCTTGTTTACGATTGTAAAGGCTAATAATAAGTAGGATGTAGATAAATTCTACAAAAACCCTAAACCCTAACTCAATATCCTATTAGCTTAGTAACTGTTTAAGAACTAACCTATTGAATATTCTTCTATACGATTACAATGTTTGTGAGAGAGAGGAGAAGCTGACCATGGCTAACTTGTCCAAACTGCGAGAAGACCTTCTTTAAACGCCCTTCACTAACTGAATCCGCAAGACCTGTAGATACACATTTACAGAGATAAAAAGATTCAATCTCTTAAAAACCCAAGGCATATATATGATGAACAGAGTTAGTTCACAAAAAGGAAGGAATCAAAAACCGAAAGTACCCTTCACGAAGATCGACGTCGAGATAGAAGTAGAGGGAGAAGAAGCTGCTTCTTTGGCTCCATCGTCCGGTAAAGCTCCGGTGACGCAGCTGATTATCCGCGGATTGCTTCTCTCCGTGTGACATAACGAAATTAAAGGATATTTTGGACTTTCCGCCGTTGAGATAGTAAGTCCTCCTCTTCGATTTTGAGATACTCCGAGTTTGCGGAAAGAAGACTGTAAAGTTGGGATCGAAAGAGACTGTGACTGTGCCATCTCCGTCAAAAGTTCGTCACCGGCGAGTAAACCCTTGACTTAGTCTTCCTTTTTTTTCTTGGGGAAAATTCTATAAAAACTAGGATAAGATTCGCGCCTTGCGCGGGATGAGATGATTAAATTTGTTGTATTTTTAAAGATAAGAAGACATTATATCTGTTTTATTTGTATATTAGTTTGTTTTGGATTGGTGGTTTCGGGTTTTAATATCGTCCAATTATATATCTATATTATAAATATTGTCTTTTTGGTTAAATTGCGATTTTATCTCATATATCTGTTTTTTTTGTCATCCACGCGACATGGAAACACGTAAGATGAAAGTATATTACGGTCAACACCATTAAGAGTATTGAGACAATCCCAAATCTCCTTTTACTCTCGAGATGGATTGCGAAAAGGCTCATTTCGATAAGCAAATTCTCGACTTGTATAACGAAATTTCCAATCTCAAGAGCCCTTAAACCTTTCACATATATATGTCGACAATTTGTTCAATAACTCATGTCCACGTCCTTTCTTATGGATACAAAAATCGACGTTAAAAACTTGTGCTCAAAAGTCTAAAACTACAGAACCAATCTCACCAACTTACGTAGTGAAGATATAGAGTTTTCAGAGCACCACTACTATACGGCCTTGGGATCTCTCGAAGACAACACACTTCACCATTTAGATTTACCCTCAGTATATTAACTACCTCAAACTTAGCAAGGTTGAGTTCAATCTCTTCACGCTACACACGAGTCATGTCCAAACCAAGATCGCGTTCATGGGCTCCGGTACGTTGCCCTTCATATCCATCATCTTAGATACGTCCCACCTCCCAAATAACGACGTTCCAGAACTTTGACATCGACCCTCACGCCAATTTACTTGCCTCCGAACTTGTCTCACGCGATATTGAACTTTGTAGTTTTAAAATATCTCGTGTGTTTTATAATTGAAGTAAATAAGGTAATATATTGTGAGAAGGTAGAAAATAATGTAATAAATTGTGAGAAGGTAGAAAATAAGGTAATAAATTGAGAGAAGGTAGTAAATAAAGTAATAAATTGTGAGAAGGTAGAAAATAAGGTAATAAATTGTGAGAAGGTAGTAAATAAGGTAATAAATTGTGAGAAGGTGGTGTGAAAACATTTAATGCAAAATGCTTCTCTTTTAATATATAAGGGATACCTCAACTAAATTTCTTTAAAATTTTCAATACTCAATTTAATATTCCCAACTAAGTATTTTGATCATTTTAATATACATATAATTGTGTTTATTTTAATATCTAAAATTTATTTATTTTAATTAACAATATTAATAAATATCAAACGAAAATTAAAAATCTTTAAAATTTAATAAAAAGATTTATAATTTATAATTTTATTTGAAAATTTAAGAGAGAAAATAAATAAACTTTGAATAAGATTTTAAAAAATAATTTTGAAGGAGAAATATTTTTTATTTTTTATTTTTTATTTTACAAAACAAACTAAATTCAGTATTTAAAACTTAAAAAATTTATTACAAAATTTAAGATTATACAAATTTTATTTATTTTTATTTCTCAAACATAAAATAAAATTAGAGTGTTCTGTAAAGGTTAGATATTTAAAATTTTTATTTGAAACGTATTAATATTTTTTATTAAATTAAACAAAGTTTGAATATTTAAATGTGTGTAATTATAAAAGTTTATGTATTAAAATGAATGAAATAATTAGTTGGGTATTAAATTAGGTAGTAAAAAAATATTAAAATGCAGTTGGGTGTTTTTATTTTCCCTTCCTTTTTCTTCGTTTTTTTTTTCTTTGGGCCTAACTTTCGGCCCATTAATACACTCGTTAGACTCTCTCTATCTTCTCTGTGATGGCGCGTGAATTCCTTCGCTGAAATGATTTTCATTTCCCTGTCGTCTCGAATTTCGAAACGAATCTGATAACCGCCGCACGGTTCTCTGTCTGTGGAAGCCGAAGATGTCTCTCTCCCTATCCTCTTCTTCCGGCGCTGCTTCTGCTGCTGCTACGAATTCTCCATTGCGTTCTTCGTCTTCTTCTCCGGCGATCGCTCCGTCTTCCTCCACGACGACATCATGGTTCTCCGGAATCGTTCGCGGCCGCGGCGACAAACCCAACCCCGCGAAGCTATCGAAAAGCGCATCCGCGACGGCAGTAGGCGGAGGAAGCGGGGATCACGGTGGACCCATCAAAGGGAAGAACCAATTCCGCGGAGTTTTGTTCAAATACGGTCCCAAATCAATTCAGGTCCCCTTTTTGATTGCAAAAGGAGACGACTTTGTTCATCTCAAGCTTGAATTGGTCCCTTATTTGCTGATCGTGAGATCATGTTACGATTCATTGGAGTTGGTGATTAAAAAAACAGATTTTTAGGTGATTTAATTCAATGTTTCAGCGTATGTGAGATCTCAATTCCAGGTTTTGCATCGAAGTGATATGATTATAGTTGAATACTCATTAGGAGCAGAGCAGATGATCACAGTTAACAAAGATGGCCCTTTTCTGAAAATTTAGAAATATTCGTGCATCAACCTGTAGATTTCTTGTTTGTGTATGTTTATGATCAAAGTTAACAGCTTGCTTGTGTTTACCACATGTATCTCTCTTCTTCAGGTGGCTTTTAAGACGGGGGAGTATAAACAACAAGTTATATTTATCGGTGGATTAACCGATGGACTTTTAGCTACTGAGTATGTCGCTTCTCTCCTTTGCCCTGAATTTTTTGTTCCTTTTTTTGGCAATAGATTGTGCAGTGTTTTGTTATGCTGATTCTAGATGATTGTTGTCTTCCATGTATATTGATTGATGAAACATTTCACACATTGGCTGTTTTCCAGTTACTTGGAACCTCTTGCAATTGCTTTGGATAAAGAGAAATGGTCACTTGTTCAACTGCTCATGTCGTCTTCTTATTCTGGATTCGGCACTTCTAGCTTGAAACAAGTAAAGAGTCGGTTTGTTTGTCGATTGATATGGATTTCATATGATATTGGTAGACTATGTGGGAAAACTATGAATTTCTCCTGTCATCAGATTACTTAGTAAGAAGTCTTGTTCCTTTTAATGCAGGATGCGCAAGAGATTGACCAACTTATAAGCTATCTCATCAACAAAGAGAACTCTGAAGGTGTTGTTCTTCTTGGTCATAGCACTGGCTGCCAGGTGATTGGTTAAGCCTCAAACGCGTTTGGTCACGGTTCTGAGAGAAAAGTTATGACTGAGACTTTTTCTTCTCGCGCTTTGAAACAGGACATTGTGTATTATATGGGAACAAATGCTGCATGCTCCCGAGCCGTCCGAGCTGCAATTTTGCAGGTGCCGATTCTAGATTCTGTGACTTGTAATTTTCCGCTCTTCGCTGAAAGCTACTCGTTATCATATGTGAAAGGGCTTGAGTTGAATCATGTGTAGTGTGCTATTTCATATGTAGTGTTGAGCATATTGCATGTTGCATTGTGTATACTTAGGCACCGGTTAGCGATAGAGAGTACAAAGCAACACTTCCTGAAACACCAGCTATGATAGACTTGGCTGCAAATATGATAAAAGAGGGCCGAGCAGAGGAACTAATGCCTAGAGAAGCTGATCCTTGTGCTCCAATATCTGCATATAGGTAAGTATCTAATTCATTGTACCATAATAGCAGCCTGCCAGCCTTGGACAAAATGAAATTTTTGTGTTTTGAACATGTCAAGATACAAAAGTCAGTTTTTGTGTTTGCTTTCTGTAGATACCACTCCCTCTGCGCTTACATGGGAGACGACGATATGTTTAGTTCTGACCTTAGTGATGATCAATTGAAAACTAGACTTGGTCATATGGCTAACACACCTTGTCAGGTAACAACAAAACTAAACATCACGACCATTTCCAGTCCCAGTGATCACTTTTGTTTATAGATGAAACCATTGGGATCTGATTAGCTTCTTGTATTCTGTATGTCCGTTGTCCTGAGGCAGGTGATTTTCTCCATGGGTGATGAGTATGTACCAGATTATGTCGACAAAAAAGCACTGGTTAATAGGTAAGGGCGTAAGGCCTTCAACTAAAGTGATAGTAAGAATACAAGGATGTCTTCATTTGTTGGATTCTGAAGTTTCCCGTCTCATAGAAGCAAACTTTTGATTAAAATGATGTAGAAATAATAAACAAATCGAAAGGATTGATATGATCTGTGTGTGATTACAGATTGAGTAAAGCAATGGGAGGAGCAGAGAAAGTGGAGGTAGAGCATGGGAATCACTCTCTCTCCAATAGAGTTCATGAAGCTGTTCAAGCCATTATGAGTTTTGTTAAAAGAGAAGGACCCAGTGGTTGGGATGATCCTTGGAGCTAAAATATTCTTTTTTTCAAGATAATGAAAATTCTACAAATTCCAATGAATTATATTGACTTCTTGGCTGATTCATAGTCATTTCTTATCTATCTTGGATCACGAAAAGAGTCGTTTTTGACTTCTTGTCATATAATCCCCAGATTCTTTTGTTGCTTCATCTTTGTCTGTATATAAAATTATCATTGCCCTGTTCTAATCAGAGAGCTAGTTACTCAACAGAACAAGTCCATTAATGTGCTGAAATCTTAATAAATAAAACAATTGGTATCAAACAAATTCTTTTAAAAAAAAAAAAAAAAATCTCAACCTTTTAAATATAAAATCAAACAAATAACAATATTAAGATCTGATAAAAAAAAATCAGATATTTATTAAAATATACTCCTATGAAGGACGGCTGAGAGTGTTCATATATAAGCTCTCACGCTAAAAATGAAGTCTTCAAACCAAAATCAACAAATTGAAATCTTCTCTTTCTTTCTTCACCAAACCTCCAAACCCAAATTAAAGTTCTGTCCTTTTCGTTTCTTCGGATTAGATAATCTCCACGGCAAGCGGCAGAGACAAAATCTCCACCGTTAAATATCTCGTTTTCGTCGAAAAAGTTCGCCTTTTTCGTTTTTTTTTTGTTTTGCTTGGAAGAGAGAACAATTCATAGATCAGAGTTACCGGAGGCGATTAGGGTTGCCGTTAATGGCGTTTACGTGGAGATCTGTTCTCCGGATTTCCGTTCTGTTGATCCTTGTAGCTGCAATCGTCTCAGCTTTCTATTTCCTCCCCGTCGAGCAGGTCCGTTAATTGGGGGTTTCAATTGTGGGTTTATGTGATGGGTCTTTGTTGGTTTCGGGAAAGTCATTTGCTTTTCTTTGAGTTTCTGGTGAATGTGGGTCGAATTGTCTTATTGAAGGTTTCATAGCAATAAAGTTTTGAGCTTTTAAATTTTGATCCTTTTGATATGATTTATGATCAAGTTGTGTTTTTGTGTTAATCCTTTTGAATTTGTTTCATTCCAAGTAGTTTAATTTGTAGCATTAGCTAGTTATGATCTGAACCTTACTATCTCCCTTTGTGTGTGTTTCAGCTTTTGAGGGACTTTTTGTTATGGGTTGAACTAAATCTAGGGCCTTGGGGACCTCTTGCCCTGTAAGTGTTTCTCCTTTTTGTTTTTTTTTTGAGCTAAGAAACTAATTATGTTCTGGAGTGAATTGTAGCTGTGAGCTACACTGTTTCATTTACCAATGTACACCCATGGGTTTGAGAACATAAGAGTTAGAAGGCTTTTTTTTTCGCAGCTTGTTTTACCTAGTTACTGAACTTGTCTTTCTTTTGTAATGTGTAGAGCTGTTGCGTACATTCCTCTAACAGTTTTGGCTGTTCCTGCCTCTGTTCTAACGGTATGTACATCACATCCCAATTCTTTTGCGTGTGTTGTATATTACGACTGCTATTATGCACTCTCAACTTTCGATGTTAAGAGTGACAAGTTTATCTACAATATTTGAGGATTCTTATTTGGTTGAGGCTATGATGATATACAGATCGGTGGTGGATACCTATTTGGGCTGCCAATTGGTTTCGTGGCGGATTCGGTTGGGGCTACGCTTGGCTCTGGAGCAGCATTTCTTCTAGGCCGTACGGTAAGTGTAGAAGATTTGCAGACATATCCTTAGCTTCTTACTTACATGATGAGAATGTTCTTATGCAGATTGGAAAACCTTTTGTAGTTGCAAAGTTGAAAGACTATCCTCAGTTTCAATCAGTGGCACTTGCCATTGAGAAATCCGGTTTCAAGGTGAGAACCAATACAAGTTTTAATCATTTTTTTACTGCTGACTCTCTGTTTTTTGAAGCTTAATGAATAATGCAAAAACTGATTTGTAGATATGCTTGTTGCTCCGGCTAGCTCCACTTCTTCCCTTCAGCATGTTGAACTACCTCTTATCTGTAACGCCAGTTACGCTGGGACCATACTTACTTTCTTCTTGGTTAGGGATGATGGTAATCTTCATCTAATCCACCTCTCCATGAATAAATGTTTAATAGTTGTAAAATCAAAAGAATACAGCTTGATGCATTGTTAATTTGGCAGCCAATAACGCTTGCCTTAGTGTATGTTGGAACAACTCTAAAAGACCTTTCTGATGTGACTCACAAGTGGAGTGAATTATCTTTCGGTCATTGGGTAAGATCCCCACATTCTCAGCTTCTTTTTCAATCTCTTTTCTGACTTATCTTTGGTAATTTGCAGGCATCTTTGATTCTGAGCCTTGTAGTATCTGGTTAGGATCTCATTTTCACCATAATAGAATCTTTATAAAACCTGCAAATGTATACAGACTTACTGATGTTTCTTTCTTTCTTTCATCTTTTCTCTTTGCAGTGATATTAATGGTGTGTGTTACTAAGGTGGCTCAGAACGCGCTAAGAAAAGCTTTAGCAGAGCACGGAGGAGACATGAACGGAGCGGTTGCAGCCTCACCTGAGCTGAATGATGTGGTTGATGCTCCGGCTGAATTAAATGAGCCGCTCTTGATAAAGATAGATTCAGAATCACCTCAAGACCAAGAAAACCAGAGAATCATGAGAGAAGCTGCTGGTTGAATTACTTTGTACAATAATCTTATTTGTATGTAACTTACAAACTATAAAACATAGGTTCGTTTGGCAAAAAAAAAGACAGCCGTTAATGCACAGATTATATATAAATTATATATCATTGTGGAGTTCTAGCTCTCGGTTCTTGGTTTTTGTATAAGAACGTAGATTAATAAATTATTCAAACATCTTTTTATCTACTATCTATATATTAAGAAACATTACAACATGTTTTAATAACCATGTGTCATTATTACAATGATTCTTAGAATTTTAGAAAAAATATGTCCATCTAAACATATATTATAGTTTTTATTAAACTAATTATCAATTTAATTAGTAGTATATAAAATAATATTCTACAATTTTTTGTTAAATAAAAGTTATGGAATTACCTAATATGATTAACATATATATGATAATTAATGGTTTAGAATAATAAATATATGTTAATAATTTTTGTATCATTCATAATTTTTGTTTCAATTTGTATTCTTAAAAAATTAAACAATCACATTAATAATATAATTAAAATTTAGATTTTTTCTTATATGCTATATTTTGAATTCTTTAAACGACTATAAATTACGAAGACAATTAAAATCCTACAATGAAAAATTTTTGATAAAAATTTTAACTTTTTGTTATAGTAAAATACAAATAATTATAAAATCATATAAATATGAAGTCTCATTTAATATATAATCAGATTTAATATAAATATATATATATTCTTTAAATAAAATAAATATTATAGATAAAATATATAAAACGTTAATTTCAAAACTTGCATTGAGTAGGAAGCCTTAATTAATAAATATAAATATTTAAATAAAATTTATGTTCCAGCAAATATAAAAAGGTTAGTAAAATCATATGAGTACAAAACCTTAAAATAAATATTCTTATTAAAATATATTATATATCTATGTCAATATTATTTAATTTTATTTATATGTCGTATAAAATAAATAAATGATTACTTTAATTTTTACCAACAAAATTATTGTAAATAAAAAGTGATTGTTTTTATGTGTTTAATCCAATTTAATTATATACATAATAGTTACTTAATTCTTAATTATTTAATATTACATAATACGCAAATCAACAAAAAATTAATATGTTAAAATAATTTGTATACATAATTATTGTTCTTTTTTGGTCATATATTTTCAGAAATACAATTTTTTATACTAAAATGAGAAAATGAATGGTAATATCTCAATAATATCATTGAAATCTAATGTTTTTAAATAGATTAAAAAAATATCAACATAACCCAATACTCAACAATATTTAATAACTTATATTAATGGCCTATGATTATACGTTTGGAAACTTATAAAAAGATGATCGAACAATCAAAATTAATATTCAAATTATTTTTCCTTTATAAATTTTATTTATGAGCGGATAATCACCGGGTACATTAGTAAAACCAGGGAGTTCATAAAGTTACCGAGGGAAAGCATACTCCATTCAGTTAAATTCTATTGGGCCATCAAGACTTTCTATTAGGCCCATAAATACCACGTGGAAAAGTAGCAAAGTACCAAACTACTCCAACTGGCACAGCTGGGCATAAACTCTCCATGATTAAGGATACTAGTTGCATATTCCCCGCGCAAGCGCGGAGCCGGGATCATTATGTTTGCGTGTATTTTTTTCGATTGTTGGTTTAGTGGATTCTTCTAATGACACCAATTAATAATGAAATGGAAAATTTCATGTTTTTATATCGTATGTTAAAACTTGATATAATTATATATTTATAGTATTTATATTTGTATTAAACGATTTATCAATATGAAAATAACCTTAATTAAGTTAATATTCGTTGTTTAAGTTTCATTAGATAGGTTTTTATATATGGTTTTTTGTAAGTTTCGGTTTTGTTCATAAATGATGTGGCATTTTTATCTACGGAGTCATCGACTGTNGTCTGGAGTCGGTGGTGAGAAATGTTTTCAATGAAATTATAGTAGTTATTAAAATGTAAGAGAAATTACATATTCATTTAATAAATAACTTACTTAAATTTTGTTGTTTATTTTATTTTATTTCACATACAATTTTTTTTGAAAAATATTAGGAATGTGTTAAATGTTATTTATATGCGAAGTAAGGTTTATAGGAATAATTAGGCTATAATATAGTTTTTAGTGTGTAAAAGTAGGTGTGTTTTGTTTTTTGCTGTAAATAGTTTTTATATCGTAGATCAAAACTTGATATAATTCTATATTTATAGTATTTATATTTGTATTAAACGATTTATCAATTTGAAAATAACCTTAATTAAGTTAATATTCGTTGTTTAAGTTTCATCAGATAGGCTTTTAGATATGGTTTTTTGTAAGTTTGAGTTTTGTTCATAAATGATGTGGCATTTTTATCTACAGCGTTATCAACTGTGGGAATCCATTCGCCGGAGTCTGGAATCGGTGGTGAGGAATGTTTTCAAGGAAATTATAGTAGTTATTAAAATGTAAGAGAAATTATATATTCATTTAATAATAACGAAAATAATTATTTTTTTTTGTTTTATTTTATCTCACATACAAATTTTTTGAAAATATATATTAGGAAATATGTGCAATGATTTAACTTTTTGAGCTCCTACAATTTTATTTTATTCCACATACAATTTTTTTTTGAAAAATATTAGGAATGTGTTAAATGTTATTTATATGCGAAGTAAGGTTTATAGGAAAAGTTAGGCTATAATATAGTTTTTAGTGTGTAAAAGTAGGTGTGTTTTGTTTTTTGCTGTAAATAGTTTTTATATCGTAGATCAAAACTTGATATAATTCTATATTTATAGTATTTATATTTGTATTAAACGATTTATCAATTTGAAAATAACCTTAATTAAGTTAATATTCGTTGTTTAAGTTTCATTAGATAGGCTTTTATATATGGTTTTTTGTAAGTTTGAGTTTTGTTCATAAATGATGTGNGTTGTTTAAGTTTCATTAGATAGGCTTTTATATATGGTTTTTTGTAAGTTTGAGTTTTGTTCATAAATGATGTGGCATTTTTATCTACGGCGTTATCAACTGTGAGAATCCATTCGCCGGAGTCTGGAATCGATGGTGAGGAATGTTTTCAAGGAAATTATAGTAGTTATTAAAATGTAAGAGAAATTATATATTCATTCAATAACAACGAAAATAATTAATTTTTGTTGTTTTATTTTATCTCACATACAAATTTTTTGAAAATATATATTAGGAAATATGTGCAATGATTTAACTTTTTGAGCTCCTAATCTATATTATTCAACCTTCATTAAGCCATCCCATGTATGCACCTGCGTGGAATTCATTTTTTTGTAATTTTTTTTTTGTCTGTTTGTTTTTGGATTTATTTTTTATTACTTTTGGGTTGAGCAATATTATAATAGGATAGTTTTAAGGTTCTTTAAGCCATCCGCGTAGGCAACCACGTGAGACTTGTTTTTTTTGTTTTTTGTTTTATTATTCGTTTTGGATTTATTTTTAACTATTTTGGGTTTGAACTTATTAAGGTTTAGGGTTTATACAACTATTCTGATCTTTAAAACAATAACCCCAAAAAAAAACATAAGAACCTTATAAACAAAAAGCCCATATGATAATAACCTAAATAAAAAAAATCAAAAATACATGATAGCTGCGTGGTTTGAACCCACAATCTTGCATACTTTATTAGACACCTTATACCACTTGGCTAAAGTGTATTTCATTGTTTGTGACCATCTTACCAAGACTATGTGTGTTTAAAAAACATTTTTATGATGATAACATTAATTGGTTTATGCAAGAGAGCAGTGGGAATTGAACCCATGTCCTTGGACACCAAATATGGGGTCTTAGACCACTTGGCTAAACTGATATTCTTTGTTTGTAGCCATTTTAAAAAAACTATCCATTTTAATATAAAAATGTGGGACCCACAATCTGCCTATGTGGACACCTTAAGGAGTCTTTAAACTGAATCATTATAATATAGATTCCCAAAAAGTAAACAAAATATCTCGACACATTAAAAAACTCCCTACGCACGTGCCAAAATTCCTCAGTGGTCTACCTTTTCTAAAATTAAATGGATAAACATTGACCAGAAGAAAAAGTCCCCACGATTCACGAAACGACACGCAGTCTACTCAGCACTTACCTTAAAACAAACCATTCCTTGAACCGGCGTCGAGCCACCGCGTCTCATTTTCTCTCTCTCAAACCAGAACTTAATCCATTTAAACCGTCCAGATCCATCTCCTGTCCCTTCACTCAATCAACTACACTTGTAATGGCTTCTTCTTGTCTGAATCTATTCTTCTTCTCCTTCCTCTCTGTTTTATTCATTACCAAATCACAAATCTCTGATTCGGTCAACGGAGTTATTTTCCCTGTAACACGAGACCTATCAACAGGTCAATATGTCGCAGAGATTCTCCTTGGTGACTCGCCGGAGCCAGTTAAGCTCGTTGTTGATCTCTCCGGTCCGCTTCTATGGTTTGATTGTTCCTCAAGGTATCTTTCCACGTCGCGAAGTCTGATCTCGGGAAGCTCAAGCGGCTGTCTGAAAGCCAACGTTGGTAACGACAGAGTTTCATCGCGTGGAGACAAATGCGATTTGCTTGTCAAAAACGGCGTCGTTGGGATCACGGCGAGAGGAGAGCTTAATAGAGATGTCTTAACACTGGGATCTGTTTCTTCTCAAGGAACCGTTGAGGTACTATTCGCATGTGCTCCTCCGTTGCTGTTACGTGGGCTCGCTAGTGGAGCCCAAGGAATAATGGGCCTTTCCAAGGCCCAGATCTCTCTCCCTTCCCAACTCGCCGCGGGAACCAACGAACCCCGTCGTTTAACGGTTTATCTCTCGCCGTCGAACGGGGTCGTCTCAACGAGTTCGGTGGAGGATGTTTTCGGAACGACTACAGCTAAATCGTTGATCTACACGCCACTGTCAACAAGCTCAAGTGGTGATTACGTAATTAACGTGAAATCAATCAGAGTCAACGGGCTCAAGCTCTCCGTGAACGGCCCGTTATCGGCAGAGCTAAGCACGGTGGTTCCTTACACGACGCTAGAGAGCTCTCTCTACTCGGTGTTTGCTGAAGCTTACGTTAAATCTGCGACTAACGCTGAATCAGTAGCTCCCGTAGCACCGTTTGGTCTATGCTTCACGAACACGTCTTCGGCTGAAGTAGATTTTCCGGCTGTTGAATTTGCGTTACAGAGCGAGATGGTGAGGTGGAGGATTCAGGGGAAGAATCTATTGGTGGATGTTGGAGGTGGAGTTCGATGCTTGGGTATTGTAGACGGCGGGTTGAACCGGGTTAGACCGATTAAATTGGGTGGGTTACAGTTAGAAGGGTTTGTATTGGACTTTGATTTGGGTAAGTCTATGATGGGGTTTGGTGAAAGGACACGAGCTAGTTTAGATTCTTTCCGACCAGAAGCTTTGTAGTAAAAAAAAAGAAAGCATCTTGTTTAATACGTACATATTGTCAGTTTTTGGGCTTTTTGTTTGTTGTGTGTTGACATAAGAGTATCGTTTCTTACATGAGTTACTGTAAGCAACACTACTCATTTACACTAATATGGTTTAGTGGTTCAATTAAAAGTCTCTATTAACATCCGCCATAGAGGAAAGACTTGAGAATTAACCATCTCACCTAACTAATATGTGGGGTAAAGTTAGAAGCCTTTATATTGGATTTTGTTTGTTTTGGGTACTTTCACTGACGAACTTGATTTTGATTTGAGTAATTTCATGTCAAATATAGTTGATTTTGTTTATTTGTATAAGAATTTTATATAGGATTTCTTAGACCAGTATCCAAAATCGGTTCCAAAATTGAGTTTTAGTATAAGATAAAAACGCACAGAAAATAGGTAGGCCATTTACTCGATCGTGATCGTATCAAAGAACACAATACAAACAGCCAAAAACATTATGAAAAAAATCGTGATATTGCCAAAAACGAAAAAGAAGTAAGAAAGCAACATAATATTTACACATGAAGACTTCTGTGTTGTTGTAGTTTACTAAGGTGAACGAGATGGGTGAGCAGTTTTTCATATATATCGTTGTCTCAACGATGGTCCAATAATAATTGTTAAGTTTAAAGGATACGGGATCTTTAGATCTACACATCCCCAGTCCACACCTATTGGTAGATAGAATAACAGTTTCACATGACTTATTAACTATTGAAGGTTGGATATATGTGGCAAAAAAAAAACACAATTTATATATGTCATCTTCAAATGAGATAGCTATCTTGTTTTGAAATAATATTTGGAAATTTTGTAAAGACGAATGATGTAAAACAATATCAAAGTCGTTTTCAGCTGTTGTTCCCAGAGTCCCAGGTCCATGCTTGATGCTTGCCACTCCTCAAGTATTTCTTTTTGTTTTCTATAGTTTTTTTTCTGGTGGAGATAAGAGAACATTACAACTTGTTTATAATAAAATAAAATTATTATGTATTTTGTTAACATCAACAAAACAAAATGATAGCGTTACTTATTGTTTTCAATTTCTTTATATTAGTATTATTATCAATATTTATCTTGGTTTTAGGGAATATGATTTTAAGATTCCAGATTGATTCTGAGTAAAAAGACAATCCCAATATACTATTATATACATAGGAATCTGATAATAGTTTAATCATCCATACTCTTGGATATTGGACAATAGATAAAATCATAAAACAGTAATTGTCCACTCAAAATGTCTAAAGTAGTGCAGCTCTACAACCAGGAACAATGTCCTAAACGAAATATGTTTGGTATGACCTATTGGCTAGCAAATAATTTGCTCTCTCTCAAGCACTAAAATGTGTTCTAGCATTTCTTCGGTCCACATTTGTTTATTCAATCATTTAGTCGGTCCATATTGTGGTCTCGGTTGTTGTCACCAACCATTTTACTCTGTTCAATGGTTTTTCCTTTTGAGTTTTTATCAGCACAAGGCAGTTTCATGTTTTATTTTACATGAAAAGGCAGTTACAACTCTTGGGGCAGTTTTTTAGAGAAAAGACTTAACTTGTCCCTGAAAAATGAGTAACTAAGGGATAAAATTGAGAAGAGCATTTTTGACTTTCTAGTTAGATTTTCGTGAATGAACTCAACAGGAGAGAGAAAGTTATTTAGGAATTTTTTTATTTTCTTTTGTTTTTAAAATTCAAAAACTTTTGGTCCATTTTCCTTTATCCTTTGTCTTCTCTTTCTTTAGTTTTCCATTTTTCCATTTTTCAGAAAATTAAAAACCATGTTTCTTAGATATATATTTTTCAATTTTTTTTTGCAAAATCGTTTTCTTTATTACTCGATCTATTTTTTGAGATATGTGAAGATGTATATACATGTACACTATCATATTTATTGTACATGTGTACACCCACATATTTATTGTGTACATATACGTTGTAATACTCTATCATACGCATGCACATATTTCTTGTACACCAAAACATATGTGTACGTGTATAAATATACACCACCAATCTTTAATGTACACATGTACACTAACGAATTTACACAACTTTACAACATGTTGAACATCTAACATGTATCTCAAACATATGTGTACGTGTTGAAAGGTTATTGTTTTTTGTACAATGTGATTTTGTACACTTTATGTCATGTACACCGATTTATTTGTATATTGTTCAAGTTATAATAATGATTTTAATAGGTTTTAGTTAGTTTCTCAAAGAAGAAAAACTGTCACATGTGTACATTTCGAAATTATTCAAGTTGTCACCTAGGATAAAATTGAAATTTGGTATTTTATTTAGACCATTTATATTAATCATCCATAATATATTGTCTCCAAAATCATTGAGATTTTGGATTTATTTCAATGACATTTTCAAAATGAATGCGTTGATTAATCATCTCTAGTTAACAAGTTCGTCGAGAAAAACTCATCCACCGTGTCCGTACAAGTTGGCGACTATGCGCAGCTTGCGTACACACACCACAAAGAGAGTCCTCTCCGGCCAAGGTGAGTGTCGTCAGCGATTTAAAACTTATTTTCATTTCTTGCTAAAATCAGCTTTATAATGATCTTGAAGTCTCTACCGTCCGATTATACTGATCGGAGGGTGGTGGAATTATAGTAGAGCGTTATAGTTTTGTTGAGAATTAAAACTAATTATTTTCTTTAAACAACGTAACAAAAATACAACGTAGTGTCCAGTTGCATGGATACACCAATTGGACACTATTCCGTCCAGGTTAAAAAAACATTACTCCGTCATCTAAATTTATACAAAGAGAATTATTAGTAATTAAATTAAGTCGTGTTAATAATTTTGTTTTATATATAATCTCAACTAGATTCCGATTTACAGAAAGGTGTTATACTTCTATGTGTGGACACCATCAATAATGAAAGAGTAAAGTCCAAATATTCTTATATGTATGGATAATTCATATAGGGATGCTTTTTTTTTTGTTACTGATTCATATAGGAATGCTAAAATTTATAATAGCTAGTACCTATCCAAGAACAGATTCCATTGCTAAAAAGAAAAAATTTCATCAATCTTATCCAGTGTTTTATTTTTGGGGATTGGGGTCATCAGAGAATTAGTTTATAAAACTATCAATCCAAGTTTACATATTTTACATGTTATTGATTAAAAATAAAGCTTAAACTATAAATTAGTCGTTTAAAAAAAAAAAAAAAACCTTGGTAGTTGACTTTGTCGGTGACGGTTGCACAAGGAAGTGCACGTCTCAAAAGTTGTGTTGGTCGTCAAAGATAATACATAAGCCTCTCATGACTATCATAATTCATAACCAAATGGCTCATGTCGCCTAGACTCCAATTGCTACCCGGAAACAGGGGAAAAATATACAAGAAAAAAAGCTAAAATATTCTAAGAATAAAGTGAAGAGATCTAGATTATGGTAGAACATGGCTATTCCGCATTAACCTTTTTTAATCATAAAACATAGCTATTACGCAATAACCATAAAACTGAAACTGGACAAAACTTGGCCCGTGTTCAGATAGAGACGTCTACAACTCTACATGCACAGATGCACTCGAGATCATAGTAAATGGATGATAATAGTCATATAATATTCTTTACTTTTTTCTTACAAAACAGAATACCAATGATGTTGTACAATTACTACTCCCTCCGTTCCTAAAAGATCCATGTTCTGGAAAAATATTTTGTTTCAAAAAGATGTATATTCTATGTTTTCTATGAGAAAATTACAAATTTCAAAAAAATTAATTGGTTTTATCAGATTACTAATGGCTAAAAGTTGTTGAAACTGAAAATTACTGAAAACGATAATGATTTAATGTATTTTCTTAATATGTGTGAAAACACTAAAAAATCTATCCTTTAGGAACAAATGGAGTATTTACTATCCATGATAAAAGAAGTTACATTTCAAAACCCATCTATAAATCTATATACAATACATTGTATTATTGCCAATCCACAAAGGCAGCTTGGTTGGTCCACCAAACCCTATAAAGCTATACCTTTATAGATAGCCTTATGCCTGTTGTGCAAAAAAAAAAAAAGAAGAAGATAGCCTTATGCCTCACTTTCTATGTTTACATCCATGATTGTATGTCTATCTAATGATCTAATGCTGACTCATTGTTCTGACTATTCTCCATTTTAAACTTGAGCAATTGCAGTAATATTCTTCATTTTTTACTTTGTGACTATATATATGAGGTTTGTCTTAATATGTGTTTTTTTTTTTTAAATTGATGCAGGTCATTTGGGGCTAAGGATGAGATATTCTGCTTATTCCAAGGCTCACTTGACAACTCAGGAAGCTTGAAGCAGCAATACGGGCTTGCTAAGAATGCAAACGAGGTTCTCTTAGTCATCGAGGCTTATAAGACTCTCCGTGACAGAGCTCCTTACCCTGCCAACCACGTTGTGGCTCACCTAAGTGGTGATTTCGCCTTTGTGGTCTTCGATAAATCAACTTCCACTCTGTTTGTAGCCTCTGTAAGTTACTTATTAACCCCCTCAAACACCCTTTTATGACAGTAAGATGTTAGATTGAACTTGGAGGTAAAAGTATCGGTTTTGATTTGGTGTAGGACCAAGAAGGTAAGGTTCCATTGTATTGGGGGATAACAGCTGATGGCTATGTGGCATTTGCTGATGATGTTGAGTTGCTAAAAGGTGCTTGTGGCAAATCTCTTGCTTCTTTCCCTCAAGGTTGGTTTTCTTCATCTTTTCTTGTTTCACCTATAGTTCAAGATTTTTTAGAACATTACAAGCTTTGATTGGGAGTGATTTTGAATGGTTGTACTATGCATGCGTTTGCAGGCTGTTTCTACTCGACTGCATTAGGTGGGCTTATGAGCTTTGAGAACCCTAAGAACAAGATCACTGCCATTCCTGCCAAAGAGGAAGAAATTTGGGGAGCCACCTTCAAGGTGATTGATTGATTCTTCAAGAACAAACCATATCTAGTTTTACCTTTTTCTCAGTGACATTTTAATGACACTCATAGCACAAACAATGGTGGTGGAAACAGGTGGAAGGAGCAGCAGTTCTTGCAGATTGAGAATGGAAAAATATTCAACCTGGAAACTCTTCGACAGCAAAAAATAATTCATCATGTAGTGAGTGAAAACAAGAAGCTGTTTTATGAGTTCTCTAAGTTATCAATCGTGTGTAGTGTCGTATCTATGTTTTACTCTTGTTTCTTTGTACAGCTCGTGTCTGTCTTCCTCCCAGTAACTTATATGTCTCGGAAACCCCAAAATTTTTACCTTCTCTTGAGCCTTTTATCTTTAGTTCGTAACTCTTGTTCTATGTACATCCTCAAACATGGATTAGTAAGAAGTTGCATTGTGGTTGGCAGAGTGCGTCATGAGTAAATCTTTATTTGGTAATCACAACATTCATGTTTTTATTACTGAGAAGAACAGTACCGAGGAAAAAGCCACAAAAGAACAGAAACAGGAACAGCTTTTGAATTTTTTTTTTACAGACGACAAGATGCAGTAGAACTGTAGAAGGCAAGACCAACTCATAGTTCATGTGTTCAGGAGATTATGATGCAGGGCAGATATCCTCCAAACTGTAGAAAGAACCAAAAATATTAATACCGAAAACGTAAACTATTGTAGATTCTCTGATGTATTAGTTTCACTAAGAAAGAAATACATACCTCTCCCCTAAACATTCAATAATGTCGCCTGTGAGAGTTGATCTCTTATGCTTTGTAAAAGCCAGAGACGCAGCCTTTCTAAGCAGGCCTGATGCAGCTATGCATCCCAAGATGGATGGATTCTCAGAGGGACTGAGATTTTCAGAGTGTATCAAAAACACTTTTCTCAATCAACAAACGTTTGAGCTAGAAAAATGGTTGAGATATTTTTTTGCACAAAGAAGATATCTAACCTTACTTGACCTGATTTAAGCTGTTGCGCCCATGACAGAAACACTGCAACACTAGACGAAACCAAATACATGTAAGGGTGGCTATAACCGTGAGTGCTGCGATGATATCGGATCAAAGAATTGTGAACTCACCTCCCAGAGAGAATATCACCTTGTCCACCACATCTCCTTGGAGAACCATATATGCTCACTGATTTTACTGCAAAAAAATAAACACAATCAACCTTCACAACTTTCTCAACGTTTTCTAACCAAAAGAAAAGACAGAGATTAATGCTACTCACCTATCTCCCCATTGCTTATAAGATCAGTTTTCCCTTTCCTCAGAATCGTTACACCACCAATCCTGAACAACACATGTCATAACAATCGTTTCACTTTCTAGGCTTGTAAAACTGAGTTTTGTAACTCTTACTGTTTAGCCAAAGAACGTAACTGATCTTCAGCATTCTCTTCATCCACTTCACAGTTCAGCACCTTCTGAACCAGACGCTTATACTCGTTCACATTTGGAGTCAACACAGCAAGCGGATAGCTCTTGACAAGATCAATAGAATTTGTTACAAGAAACAGCCCGTCCTGCAGAATCGTCATACATAACAATGTAAGAGACAAAACAATCAAAAGATCCGGGGAAAAAAAAAAAAAAAAGCCAAATCATTGCTAATTACCCCATCTACAACAAAAGGAACATTAAACTTCTTGGCAACAAGCATGATCTTACTCACACATTCCTGGAAAATACAGAGTCGTCAAGTCAAGTCAAGTCAAGTCAATCAACCAAACGCATTGAGAACTTAAATTAAGTAAATGTGATGAGAGGAGTCTGTACAAGGAGAAAAGGATCCCTTCCCAAACCAGGACCAATCACAAGGCAATCAAATCTCTCCATCCATTTATCCACTTCTCCTATCACTTTATCCTGGACTTTTCTCTTCTCTTCCTCACTTAACTGACTACATTCACATAACCAAAACATACATATTATGAAACTGGCTTTGTAACTAATAAAACCAGCAATGTACATTCACCTGATGGTGTAAGATTCCTCGAGAACAGGGTGAACAATAAGCTCAGGACTATAGCTCTTAATAACAGGAGCTGCGTCTTTCGTACAGAACACATGAGACAAATCAGCACCCTACAAGTTTTACAGACAAAAACAACATATCAGTTTTGCTACCTAAAACCAAAATTGAGTAGAAAAAAAAGCTAACAGAAACTAAACTACTCACGATTTTGAGAGCAGAAATGGCGGCAAAGTAAGGAGCTCCAGTGTATTCACGACATCCTCCAATCACAGCTATCTTCCCTAAAGCAGACCATGTATACAATTAACATTGAAAGACTCAACCTTTGAAGTTCGAATTTGATTAAAAAAACGATCTTTGAATTCGAATTCTAACCAGCTTGGCCTTTGTGTCGTTTAGGGTCGAGCGATGGCGTCACGGTTCTAAGAACACTCTCTGCGTCGGCCTCTGATGTGGAGCTCATTGCTCTGATGAGGTTTGGGAGATGGGTTCTTGAGGCACAAAGCGTTCGTACCAAGAACTGTTGCCTTCTGAGGACACTTGAAGAAGAAGAAGAAGAAGGTAGTGAATATGAAGTGGATCGTGTTAAGGCGGAGATGACGCCATGCTTCACCAACATTTATTTAGATTGTTTCTAACGAAAGGGACGCAGGAACACCAACCACCGCTTCCGAATACAGCACCGAGTGTGTCAGTCTCTCTGTTTGATTCGGAGGGTCTTATATATTTCGTTTAATTATGAAAAAATTGACTAGAATAACACTAAATTTTTTTTTTGTCACAAATATAGTATTAATGAATAAAAATGACCAAAATAACACTTAATATTTTATCAACAGAAATAAATATACACTTATATTCTAATGATAAATTAATTTAGACATTAGAGTTCAGAGTTAAAGGGTGGGTTTAAAATTTAGGGGTTGGAGAGTGGGATTTTGGGGATAAGATTTCAATTTTAAAAAAATAAAATAATTTTTAAATTTTCAAAAGATAAAATGTTATTTTGGTCATTTTAATTTTTGAAAGTTATTTTTGTGACATAAACTTAGAAATGTACTATTTTAGAGATTTGCCCTTTAATTATTTTAAAAGTGAATAAAAGAAAAAAAAAAACTATTTTGGGAATCAAGAGTTAGAGATGATGATTGGCCCGTTTTATAGTGTTCTCTGAATACTCTTTTTCTCTCTTTCAGTTTGGTTTCCGAATAGTGTGTGTTTAGGATTTGCCTCACACAGAGATCAAGTTAACTTTTTTTTTTTTTCTTGGTCTGTATTAGTTCAGTTAGGAGGAAGAACGTTAGACCCTTGTAGGACCTTTGGAGTTGTTAATAAAGAGTTTCTTTTGAGTTTAGTTACTTAACTCACTCATTTTTTTTTTGTCATGAAATTTAGACTCTTCTATGTCTGCTATATATCTTCTGCTGTCAAGAACAAGGATTTAATCTACCAAGTGAACAACAAAACCATCATAAAAGCATATGGGCATCTTTGTGTTCAAAGTTACAAGACCTACATCTGCACTGTTGAATACACCGTTTCTGGTTCTCCAAAGCCGTCGTCCAATTAAAGGATCACCAGAGAAAGTAAAGACCACTCTTAAAACTAGAGACGATGAATTACAAGTGGAGAGACGCAGATGTATATGTTCTTTATGCCATTGTTTCTTAAGCATGTGCATGGTACCATTCAAGATCAAACAAGGTCCATCATTCAGACAACTTTACATAATGGTAAAACAGACTTAAATTCAGAGCCTCATTTCAAACGCTGACGTTTTGAATCGGGTCATTAGGATAATTGGGTGGGGATACATGTAATTAGGTAAAGCATCTTGGGTGACTGCATCAGTCAATGATTAGTTTCATGACTCATCAAATAATAAAAGAAAAGGATTGGTAAGTGTAGGAACTTTGATTCATTCTGCTTATAAAAAAACTGTAATATTAAATAATACTCAACTAGAAAGAAAAAATAAACATCACAAATCAAAAGACAATGAGCAGAGCAGAGGACTGGTCTATCGAGGTGAAACGTGATGATGATGGTGATGGTGATAAGGATGAGAGGCATGGACATGAGGATTTATGAACGTGCCATAACTGGCGGTAGACGAGGAGCGTTCTGAAACATCTTGTGTGACGACCACTGTTTCAGCCTTTTCCACGTCAACTAGATTATTACGCTCCTCTTTCTCCTCGATGTTACAAAGGACGCTGATGATGCAACCACCCATAAGGCATAAGCAAACCAACACAACCCACCATAATATATCTTCCATTAGTCTTGCTGTTTTTTTCTCTTTTCCTTTTTTTTTTGTGTGTGTGAGGTTTCTATAGCAAAGACAAAAAAGAAAGTAGGTGTATGATTTTTTGAGAGATTGATTGAGTGATTCCAGATTTGATAAACAATGCTCGTAAGATATCAATCTACTTTATAACATATCTGGAACGTAAATAAGACAAATAGTGATTGTGCATATTATGGAAAAAATCTTAGATATTATAGTAAAGAATCCACCAAAAATTAGTAAGAGGAATTTGCTGATTCGTAGTTATCTAGAATTTTTTTTTTTAAGAAATAGCAAAATTAACAAAAAGGAAAGAAAAATTAACAAGCCAATAGAAGATAATTTATTCCAATTTTACTAATACACTAGAGATTTTGCATGACTACGCCCGGGATTAGACAAATATAAATGTATGCTGCATAATAATGTACATATATTGCATCCCTTATTATAAAATACTAGATTTTATACTCGCGCTACGCGCGAGTCTGTATTAATAATTTAGTTTAGCTTTAAAATAATTTAAAACAAAAAAATTAATTGGGTAACATAATTTTATTATTTAAAATATAATTTTTAATTTAGTATTTGTGTTTTCGTATAATTATGTTATCTTATTAGCTATTTAATTATTTGTATTTGTAAATATAATA